GTATATATGTATATATGTATATATATATATGTATATATGTATATATATATATGTATATATATATATGTATATGTATATGTATATGTGTATATATAATATATACTGTATATACTGTATATGTGTGTGTGTGTTTTGACTTCTTTTGACAAGTCAACCACAAGTCTGTAAGGAACTAGATATATATATGTATATGTATATGTATATGTGTATATATATATATATGTATATATACTGTATATGTGTGTGTGTGTTTTGACTTCTTTTGACAAGTCAACCACAAGTCTGTTATTTGTGTAAGGAACTAGATTACAAGTATTGGGAAATCTTAATCTTGTTTATGGCATTGTTGCATTGGTTACCTGAATGCCATGCATGAATAAAATTGTTGGGGGTTGAAGGAGGAAGTTGGCTGTATTATTATTATACTTTTTTTGTCTTTTTAAAATTAGGATAAACCATATCTCTTTTATAATAGGTTGCTATGCAGCTGGTATGTAAATTAATGTCCAGTTTAAAAATACTTTGGGGGGTTGAGCAGCTTCAGCAGTCTGACTCTTAAAAAATTTATTTTAAACATCCCCTCCCATCCAATTTTCTGAAAGTATTCATAATTGAGAGCTTTGATAAAAATAAAAAATAAAAACTTAAATTAAAACTGAATTTGTCACACAGAAGGTCCATTTAAATGATCCAGTGAAGTCAGAAAGGTGATTTAAATACCTTAAAATAAATAGTGACACATTTACATTTACACAACAAGGATATTCAGTTTCTCTTATACAAATAATATTGATGTCCATGAACATTTCTTTCTTAATCCAACAAGATCTAATTGCAATTTTACTGCTGTGCTGTTGTCACAGCAATAAAATATGAAGTTGTAAATTCTTGGATTTGTTCTTGGTCACATTATCATAGTTAGAGAATCACCCCTGACTCAGATTTTTGTTATATATTAAACAGTAACTTAACACTGAACATGCTTTATGAAAAGCAGCAGGTGTCTGATAATATGACACTTATGGACATCTCCATCTCTCTATCTCTCTATCTCTCTATCTATCGTGAGTTAGTGACAAACATACAGCTATAAAAGATAGAATAAATAAGATAAAAGTATAAGATGAATACTATAAAAGATTGAGTTATAAAGGTTTAGTAGAATGAATACAAAAGGAGGCTGTTGTTTTTTCTCTTTTAAATGCAAATAAATGGCCTTGTGTTCTCACAGCATAACTCGGACTGTGAGTGAGTTTGTAAGTAGATCTCTGTGCATTATTAAGTTTTTCCTTTGAGTAGAGTAAAATTCTTTTTTTTATAGACCGAGGCCACAGGCTGTGCCAACATACTCTGGATAAAAGGTTTCATGTGAATGGTTCAGTAAACCTCTCAAAGCCACCTCCTTCCACCCAGTCAGGAAGATATGATAATTTTGCTACCAAATCACACCAACTCACCCCTCACTGTTTTACATGCCCCATTACACATGCAGAATGCCATCTAATACATCGGCCCATCTCCATACTATCCTAAACTCTCACACAAATGTGCTGCTATTGTTTACAGCAGCTTCAGTTTGTGTCTCCGCTGCGGAGCTCATGTATCAGTGTCATGTTCTCTCTCTCAGCCAGGACACAGTCACTGTATTGTTGTGATTTTGGCAGAGGGATGTCCCTTATTTAGGAGCAGACAAGTATAAGGAAAAGTAGAACCACTAAGTAACCATAAAATGGTTTGAGTGAAAAGAGACACCTTAATATGCTCCCATAAGAAATCAGCCATAGCTTTTGTATGGGAATTTTATGTTTTGGAGATTTGTCATGAGTGTCCATTATTTCTTTAGTTTTTCCTCTGCCCTTTCATCTGAGGGGCCATATGCTGTGCAAATGCCTTTCCTCTGAAGTAGGTAGACCTTTGAGCACGTTTTTGCAATATCCCCTTAGTTATCAAATACATGTTTTCTTTAGGAAGTGGGCAAATATGAACAAGATGCGTTCAATGAATGAAGCGTTCACTTTTTTTCAAATGAACTGATTTAAAGCATTGATTTTTCAGCTGGTTTTGCATCAGTACATTGGACACCATCTGACCCCTCATAGTACCAGAATGGTCTATTGTATTCAAAAAATTAATAAATAAAAATAAAAAGTAGCCTAAACAAGAGAATTTAATAGTATCACCATGGACTGCATAGGTCATAGCTTTATGTTGAACATAAAAGAAGATATTTTGAATAATGCAAGAAGAATCAAATCAAGCAGAAGAGTCAATGAAGAATCAAGCAGTTGATGGTCCCCATTGACTTCCATAGTATTTCTTTCCCTACTATGGAAGTCCATGGGGACCAACAACTTTTTGTTTTTTCAAAATTCTTCAAAATATCTTCTTTTGTGTTCCTTTAAGAACCTTTAAACAGGTTTGGAACGACATGAGGGTGAGTAAATGAAGACAATTTAAATTTTTGAGGTGAACTATTCCTTTAATGCGTGCTGTATTGTTACAGTATTAGTGTTTTCCAATACTGGATATTTGAATGTACATGTTTAGTTTTCTTAATGTTTTAAATTTAGTAATTTAGTAACAGTGTTAAAGGAATAGTTCACCCAAGAATCAAAATTTGCTCACCCTCAGGCCATCCAAGATGTAGATTAATCACTTGCTCATCAATGGATCCTCTGCAGTGAATGGGTGCCGTCAGAATGAGAGTTCAAACACCTGATAAAAACATCACAATGATCTGTTTCCTAAATGCATCTTATTGATCTTATTGTGCTTTTTTAGTCTTCACATTTTGATGTACGTCATTTCATTGTTACTTCAAATGTAATCTTCAAAATATCTCAAAATAATATAAATTTTTATATTGTAAATTGCTGTAAAATTGCCTAAATCCACTTGTAGCATTTAAAATGATTGATTTAAATTTGTAGTGTTGTATTTTTAATTTATTTAGTCTAAAAAGCATAATTCAGCATAATATGTTATTTGGCTTTGTTAGTTGCATTTTATTATATGCATTTAACATTGTTTTGCTGTTTTAAAGGACTTTAGTTGTATTTCAGAGTGGCTTAGAAATTCTCATCGAGTGTTACTGTCCAGTTAGTAGTTTTTTTTTAATATAAGTAAGAGCACACTGGATGCAGCACTGGGTTTTGCCTCGCGACACCTGTATGGGTGCACAATCACTTCCTCTGGATGCCCATGTTGTCCAAAAGAATCATAGTAGATTAGCCAAGTGAGCTATTTTACTTTGCAATTGATAGCGCACACATCACGTTTTTTGATTTAGTCATGCTCTTTCATTAGATTTTTAACTTGTAACTCCTTTTATTGTCTGGTTTATATGCTGTTCTGCCTTTGTCTCCTGAGGCCTCATAGTCTCTCTGATCCTTCAGTGTTTCCCACTGAGTTTAATCAGTGCTGCTGTTGTTTCAGGTGTTCAGTCTCGGGCTTTGAAGCTGTGTCCACAGGCAATATGATCACAATATGATATTGTGTTTGGTTCAGTTTGGCCCTGTGGCCACTTGACCATATTCATGTTTTGCAGAATGTGGATATGCTTGAAATACAGCATTTTTTAAAGACAGCCTTGAGTATCTTCTCACGCAGTCAAGGCCAGTCTTTGCCCAGTTGCTTGTTGATAGTTTATTTGATTGTGGTCACATTTTGCAGTACTCATTTGTACTATATCAGGCTTGTTCTCTTGTTGGCCCATGCATTCTTATCCCTGACCTCACTTTCCCTTTAGTTTGAGTGTTGACTCTTGTTATCTCAGCTCCTGTGTGAGACTCTGCAAGGCTACTAATCCCTTTGGTTCTTTAGAAATGCAGATAACACTCAGTAGATATCGCTTACAGCAGACTAAATGACCTGCTTTCTGTAACAGGTCTGTTTTTTGCTTTTGCCTTCTAGATGCTGCTACAGGTGGGAGGAAAGCGCTCTGCCCTGGGCCTGTTGGCCATCAGGAGGGTGTGGAGTATGAGCCGCTCCGCCCATACCGCATCCCAGACACTGGAGTACAAACCCATCAAAAAGGTCATGGTGGCCAACAGAGGTGCGTCAGTGTTCAGAATGTGTATGACATTCCCAAAAACTTGTTTTAGTTTCGTTTGTTTTATTTCTATTTTTAGTTTTTCAGTATATATTTAATTATATTTTAATATATAATTTTTTCCAAATACTATTACATATAAAACAAAAGTTTGTAGTCAGTTTTTTAAAAGAAATTAATACTTGTAATATTGTTCTCTTGAATCTTCTATTCATAAAAGAAAAAGAAATCTGAAATGTTTCAAAAAAAATATTAAGCAGCGCAGCTGTTATCAAAATAAATAATAATAAACATAAAATCAGCATATTAGAATGATTTCAGAAGGATCATGTGACACTGAAGAAATCAATTAATAAAATATCAACATAAAATAGCCACGGTGGGTAATTTTTTTTTTTTTTAATTCAAACTTCTTTTTTAAATTTTTAAAATAATACATTTCTGCTTATTGCTTGTGAAAGCATTTCTAAAAATAGAATACTTTTGTTGCAGAAATAATAAAGCTAGTATGTTAACTGTCTCTCTGTCCTCGGGTATAAAAACACATGGCATGAATCAATTATATACTCATGAACTGTATTTAATAAAATGCCTTTTGCAGGAGAGATTGCCATCCGGGTGTTCCGGGCTTGCACAGAGCTGGGGATCCGCACGGTGGCCGTCTACTCTGAGCAGGACACGGGCCAGATGCACAGACAAAAGGCAGATGAAGCTTACCTCATCGGGAAGGGGCTGCCACCTGTAGCAGCCTACCTGCATATACCAGACATCATTAAAGTGGCCAAGGTCAGACTTTGCACCTGAGTGGTTCTCTGTAAATCTTTTGCACCATAATTCAGATTTCTACATGCCCTGCCAACATTTTTCACTGCCATGTTTCATCAACTGGCCCAAAACTCTCTCACAGTTGTCCCGAGTCAGCGTGAGAACTCTGTGTTTGGTGTCGAGTTGAAAAGCAGAATGTATTCACATGTTTTTAACACCTGCAGCTTTTGTTGAAAGTGTTTGTGTGGTAAAACAGCAGATTAGTATCTCGTGACCTGTAAAATACACACACAGTCTGCAGTGATTGGACAGATAGAGCACAAACAAGCCTGCAAAGAGCAGTAATTGCACATAATTATGCCTTCTGACAAAGGGTTCAGAGTCTGACGCCAAGAAGAGATGGTAGCCGTAAAATAATCGCTCACAGGCAGTCGTTCTCCCACATCTCATTTTCTGATTAAATACCTTAGGCAACAATCAATGGACAATCAGTCAGTCAATGGCTTAATCAATAAATAAATCAATGGCTTTAACAGCTTGTCAGTTTAACACCATACCTTATGTGTCTTAGAGAATGACCCATGTTGTGTTAAGCACCTGAAACATTCCACACCTCTTGTTGTGACTTGTTTAGGAGAACTAAATTGGCGGTAACACTTTACTTGAAGGGGTGTGCATAAGACTGACATGACACCTTCATAATCATGACATGACACATGTCATGAATATGAAGGAGGTTTTATGCATGTTTATGACAACTGTCATTAAGTGTTATTCGCTCAGTTATGTCATTTTTAATGCAAATATGACATTATTTGACCTAACCCTAACCTAACCCTACCCCTACCC